ATTTTCTGTATAAAAGAAAAACAAAACGAAATTAAATGCTCATAATACTTACATATAGACTATATGGTTTTCATCTCTACACGATGGTGAAAAGGGCGATTCACTAGCATAAGTGATTTTCAAATGGAAAACAAATCAATGTGATACTAGAGAGGTGGACCAATAATTTGTCGACCCATTGTATGTTAAAAAAACTAAGATAAAACATTAAAAAAGAAAATTTGTTTTACAAAATTTAGATGTGTTTTTTGGAATACTTTGAAGCACTTATCGGATGTGCTCTAATTCATCCGGGAAGTAAATATTATCATTCATCCATAAAACCTCCACAAACAGCAACATCGGAGCGAAGTCTTGAATCACAACCATCGTTCGTTACTGTAGGGATTTATAATATAAAATGAACAATAATGTATTGACTCCCTTCTATTTTAGCCCACTCCACATGAAATAAATGAAAGTCGACTATCATCTGAATATCCAGCACGAGAAACAAGCGAACAAGTAAAGTTTATAAATCGAGAAATACTTTTTGAACAATAACGGTTTTGTTTTTTGTTTATTTTTACTCTTAGGAAATAGTCGCTGCCGATGAGGAGAAACATTCATCAAGAGTAAAATCATTTTCTGAAAATGCTAAAGGTAATAATAAGTTGTCGTTTTAAAATTATGTTTACTTTTGAAAAAGTTAATTTTTAAGATCAAGATGGTGATAGATCAGATGAACAATGGTCGTTAAAAATTGACGATTTTTTTAATGGTGTATTTATACCGGCTTCCAGTACTTTATTAGACATTCAAGAAGAAGTCCGATATGATCAGGAGAAAACATGGCAAGGACCACTGATTGACAATATTGATCGTTCTACGATTTTAACATAATAAGAATATGTTTAAACTTTCTCTTTTTTCTCTATAACTTTAATCCATTATTCTTATGCTCCCTCGTTGTCCAAAAACGATGCCATAGTTCACTCTTTATGAATATAAATATATAAAATACTATCATAATGATGGTTATAATCAAGGCAGATAATGAACTCAAACGATTGTTGATTCGAAAATCAACATCAGTATTGATTGACCCAGACGAAGCAACTTGTCTCTAATTAAAATTCATTTTTGATATCATTAATAACTAGACATGCACCGATTATAACCGACTGAAATTGTACGCGTTTTTTGCAAAAAATTTTTCTCAACGAAAATTGATAGTATAAATTTTTTCTAACAATTGGGTTTTATAGAGCAAACATTTTTCTGCAAGATAAACTTTAATATTAAGAGAGGGAGAGTCCGCGCCCCTACAGTTTGGCATAGTGTAGGCTATAACCTGAAGTGTTTGACTGATCCTCGTTATCATGTCTGAAATGCACAGTTTAAGAGTAGTTCAATAATTAACAACTAGATTTAATTCAGATTTCGATTTCAATAGTATTATAAAATAATCCATATTTTATTGGAATGTCCGATCAACGTCGTTGCAGAGTTATTTTGTAGACAATCTTTGGTTGTGTATAATAAGCTCTAAAAAATTTCAAAATTTTTCCAACGACGTAGGTTTTTAAGTGAAACATTGTAAAAAAGGTAATTTTTGAAAATCTTGTCAGCGATTGCCAGATAACAAAGAATTTCCAAGAAAATTTTTCGCTAGCGCATGTAGCCGATGTCATTCTGCATGAGATAAGCGGAAGAGAATTCCAAACGAACAGAAGTTAAACGAAAATTAAAAAGTTTTGGATTTTAAAATTTTTTAATTAATAATTTTTTAAAGTGTTTGTCGTTAGAAAAGAAAAACTACTCCGTTTACCCAACGTAGAATTTCATAGGGAACAACCTTTGCTCTAACAGTTTTTATGAGTTATGTTGTGCGTAGTCAGAATCTGTGGCAAGATTTTGGGGTGCGTATCCCTGTAACAAGGGCTTCCGAAAATCCCCGCAATTATTGATTCTGACAATAACTTTTAATTGTAACATGGTGGTTAGATAACCCAAAGTATTCTCTACAATTTTGCACAAGGCCGACCTCTTTATCTGTTGTGGTTCTCGAATGGGAGCCATTTAGCCGTCGAATTTGTGCGAGTGACGGAGGTTAAAAAAATGCTTGCATTGGCGATCCACC